AGGGGGGGGGGGGGGGGTTTCTGGAGAAATCGACCTCCCATTAATGAGTAGTTAGTCCATATTTTCCCCCCTAGATCCTTCGTGCCTGCTTCAACCAATAGGATCACTATTTTTCCTACGTTTTCTTTGCCCATTGCTGTGTCTATCAATTTCAATAATCAGCCTGCCACAAATGATGGCCACACATATGAGGAGCTTTCTTATTGCTTTCCAGCACTCTTTGTTGTTGAGCAGCCGCGGTTCCTATCCTACATAGGTCCTTTAGAAAGTTGACACTACCTCAATTACATTAAACCCCCTGTTGCCCGACTTTTACATGATGTCCCCTTTGTCTCCTCCTAGGAGCCACCTGATTAAGTAAATAAATAAGTAAGTAAGTAATTGCAGGGTTGACCGGCTGAGGCGCTCTCTAGGGGTCAAGGCACCTGGCAACTGCCGTCGTGCACCCTGAATTGAACCGTGCTCCTTTTAACTTATCTCATGATACTTATTACATTTTGACAAGGCTCCGTGGACTTTCGAAGCACGGCCATGCCTCTACCGAGTTGGACTGTGTTATTTCAATTTCCACTGATGGGTAACACTGGCAGGCGCGCACACCACGAGTGATAAACGATTTTTTCACATCTCAGTCGAACAATGCAGCCGGATTACTCACTGGGTGACTATGGCCCTCCCACACCATGTTACCTCGAAGGATCAGTGTAATTGAGTGGCATATTCATCACCAAGTCTAGATGACTGACATTTGAGTGTCCTCAAATATCAGTCACCTCCGAGGATTGGGCCCAGGACCTCTGTATTGGCAGCAAACTGCCTTGACCACTGCACCGCTGAGGTTGACTCCCTCGGTTGGGTATCTTTCTTGGCAGAATTTTTCTGGAGGAGTAATTTCCTGTTTTCCTCCTTTGCATCTCTTACATATGATTTAAATGTAATAATAAAGAGATCATCACCCCTCCGAAGAGATTTAGTAGAATTTTGTCAAACAGCTGAGCACAACTTACTGCTAGCATTAGTTTGAAGAGGATAAGTATAGAATGACCGGCATTGCATGGAAGTTACATTCATTTATTTTATTTCAGTCTTCGTCTAGGGGGCTGAATTACTCAGGTGGATATTTTATATGAGCCCTTAGAAATGGGAAAATACCTTTGGGGTAGGACTTCAAAAACTTCTGGTTCTTTTAGGAGTAACCCTAATCCTAGTTTCATTGTGGTTAAAACTCAACGAATGTCAGGTAGGTGGTTTTGAATAATTGTAATACATAGAAGAACATACCTTAGTTGTTCTTAGCTGGAGAGTATTAGAAGGTGTAGTCAAAGGAGCTGTAATAGTTCCTGAAATTACTGGAGAACTTGAAACAGTTCTGGGTGGTGGATACCTAGAGCTACTTCCATTTGATTTAACATCAAAGCCACTGATGGATAGAGCTACAGATGGGTCCACATAATACCTAAATACAAAGAATCCACAAAAGAAACCATTGTCATGAAAACAATCAAGACTTTCAACAACTATCAAGACATTGATGACTGAATATCAAGAAGTATGAAATTAGTACCTAAGTCTTGCAAAGCCTCCTCTCTACAGGACATTTTCATGGAAACTGTCCCAGAGGCGAATCTCGGGAATGACACTTTGGGGATTTTTTGCAGTTGTCGTTTCCACAGGACGGGACTCTGACATTCCTGCGACAAGATTGCATGAAGAGATACATTAGTAAAAACCGAGTATTTTACTAGCATTTAGATAAAAATTGAAAACAATTGAGAACTTGACAAATTATTTAAATAAAACAGACAAGTAAAATTGAGTAAACAACTAAATATCACAATTTGTGATAGCAGCTGTATTCTTTGTAAACATTCTGATAGATTCTTGTAATATTGTAATGTATAGTACATCAAATTGTTACCATGTTGGATTGTTTAATTGTCTTACTTATCTTGGGTTCTTTGCCCGTATTTCTTCTTATATATACGGTTTTCACGAAATGGGGGTCGTACCGATTGTCCGCTCTTCCTTAAAATTTGTGTGCAGGTCCTCTCCGGTTCGGTGGGTGACACTGACTACTTCAATTTTTTCCCGGTCGTGATTTTGGGATTTTATCGTCAAAATATGGGAAAATTGGGGAGAGGACCGGGCTCACAGTTGCTAAGCAACCGCCGCCGCAGCATCGCTGTACAAGTGGTTATCGATACAAGTAATAATCCATGTGTATCGCAGTTTGATGTATTTTGTGTGTTTGATGCGTTTGATGTGTTTGTTGTGTTTGATGTGTTTGCTGTGTTTGTTTCGTTTGATGTTTTTGTTGGTTTGATGTGATTGTTGTGTTCGATGTGTTTGTTGTGTGTGTTGTGTTTTTTTGTTTTTGTCTTTGATGTGTTTGCTTGATGTGTTTTTGTGTTTTTTGTGTTTGACGGGTTGTTTGTTTTTAGTGTTTGATGTGCTTTTTGTGTTTAATGTGTTTTTTGTGTGTGATGTGTTTTCAGTGTTTGATGTGTTTTCTGTGTTTGATGTGTTTTTTGTGTTTGATGTGTTTATGTGTTTGATGTGTTTTTTGTGTTCGATGTGTTTTTTGTGTTAGATGTGTTTTTCGTGTTTGATTTGTTTATTGTGTTTGTTGTGTTTTTTTGTTAGTTGTATTTGATGTGTTCTTTGTGTTTGATGTGTTGTTTGTGTTCGATGTGTTTGATTGATGTGTTTTTCTGTTTGATGTGTTGTTTTTGTTTTTGATGTGTTGTTTTTGTTTGATGTGTTGTTTTTGTTTTTTGTGTTTGATGTGCTTGTTGTGATTGTTTGTTTTTTGTGTCTGGTGTGTTTTTTGTATTTGATGTGTTGTTTGTGTTTCATGTGTTTTTCGTGTTTGATTTGTTTATTGTGTTTGTTGTGGTTTTTTGTTTGTCGTATTTGATGTGTTCTTTGTGTTCGATGTGTTGTTTGTGTTCGATGTGTTGTTTGTGTTTGATGTTTTTATTGTTTGATGTGTTTTATGTGATATATATCGTTTTGCATCGATACGTATCTATTTATCTACATCGATATTGAAATATACCTGTATCGATAATCGATACGTATTGATGCAAAACGATATAAATCACATATAACACATCAAATACAAAAAACACATCAAACACAAACAACACAGGCATGCTCTGATAAACTGATTCATTTAATAACTAGAAAAGAGGAAGACAAAAGACCTGCCTGGAATCGATAACGGCATACAGAATGTATCGATATGTATCGATGTTAATCAATGTGGATATAGTTGGTTAGGATATATGTTTGGATGTATATCGATAAAGATGTATTTATCGATATGAATCGATATGGATATAGATCGATATGTATCGATATAGATATGCATCGATACGTATCGATATATAAATATATGTCAATATACATATACTTCGATATCTATATGGGTATATTTCGATATAGTTAAATTTGTGTACAGGTCCTCTCCGGTTCGGTGGGTGACACTGGATACTTCAATTTTATCCCAGTCGTGATTTCGGGATTTTATCGTCAAAAAATGGGAAAATTGGGGAGAGGAACAGGCTCACAGTTGAATCAGAGGAAATTTGAAAAATTATGTATCCCCCTGTTATCCTTTTTAATTTTAATAAAATAATTTTGTTTCCGTACAATTCTCCTCTCTTATTTCAACGATTAATGGGCCTGTTGCAAACTTTTGCTAGAGCAAAACTAAGAGTTGTTTCTTACAGATAATGCCTCAAAAATCACGATGAGCGTATCGGCATAGTCTGAAATGCACCCATAACTTCACAATCTGCGTAAGAAATTTGCGGTTTTTTGAGCTTCTCGCTTCGAAAACGATACTACGGCACAGGTGAATATTTTGTTAGAGGAGTCGTTCCATTGGCGGCAATACTCATCATGGCCGACGCCAGTCCGCCAAAACACGTGTGATGGGACGAGATAACACCTAAACAGGATTAAACCAGATAACAATCGGCGTGTTTACGTTCATATTTTCCTCGCCCGCCTTAATTGACCTTGAACTCTCCTCGAATTACGCGAGGAACTGCGCAAGCGTCGGCCATGATGAATATTGCCGACGATGGAGCGACTCCTCTAAAAAAATGTTCACCTGCGCAGTAGTATCGTTTTTGAAGCGGGAAGCTCAAAATAACGCAAATTTCTTACGCAGATTGTGAATTTATGAGTGCATTTCAGACTTTGCCGATGCGCTCATCGTGATTTTTGAGGCATTATCTATAGGAAACAACTCTTCATTCTGCCCTAGCAAAAAATTGCAACAGGCCCATTATAATTCTATCAGTTGCATTTCTGCATTTATCATGTAATGAGAAACAGCTGAGTGCTTTTACCACTCTATGTCTTAGTTTTAACCTTCAAACAACAGTAACAAAAATTTTATCTTGATGGCTATTCGAAAAATCAACCATTTAAATGAATACAGTTTTAATATTGACATCAAAAGTAAAGTTTTATGTAAATCTCCAGTTAAAATCGAAATCAATCGTTGTTGTATTTTTCTTCTTTTTTTTCTTAAATTTGCAAGACTCCTCGGTTGTCATAAATTGTACATCTTTTGATAAGAATTATACGATATAATTGAGGTAAGAATTATTTATCCATCCAACTCTTGCTTTATGTTTCCCTTCCCTAATTTCCGTTTCACACGTAAATTTTGCCAAATGAGAACTACGTTTTCATCAAAAACTCTGTGTTAAGAGAAAAACAGATCCTTGAAGAAGGTTTTTTCCACAAAGTTGAAATCCCACGCTGAAAGTTGCAGGTGTTTTCATCTACGTGGAGAGGACCATACCGTATAACACTGGCAATGTTTTTTTCCCCAAAGCCAGCAGGAGCTTTTACTCAGGGCGAGAGCTTTTTTACATGAACTGTTGGTCATTTTATCGTTTCTAATTATATGTTTGCACAAATGGCGTCCTTAATTTGAGAGGGCGCGGCTAAATGGCTTCCCTGAAGCTGTTTTTTGGCTTAAAAAGACTAAGTTTCAACAGTGAATTAAACATTTGATTGCATTGCAAATACGCGAACAAAAAAATGGAAATAAATAGAACGCACTCTAATTTTTTGAAGGCACCGTAAGGAAAACGCTGCCCTTCTTCCACGGTTGTTAAGATAAAATGCTAGCAATTAAAACAGCGCTTTCAAGTGAAATGCGGCCATCTTCTGCCGATTTCTAACCTGCAAATGTTTGTTGTTAATAGAAAATTGAAACACGACAGCATGCAAAGATAGCACTTAAGGCTGTCATGACTAAAAATAACCCAAGAATAAAACGAATTATACCCTCTTTATATACTTGAGAAACATGGATTGAGTTTTAATCAGATTAAAAAGTTTAGAATGATTTTTGGCAATTTAACAAAGAAAGGAGGCTTATTAATATAAAATTTCAAATTTAGGCATTTACAGTAATGAATACAATTGGATACATGATTTTGCAAATGTTACACATGTATTATCTACTCGGTTATGTAATTTTTTGTAATATCAATAATAAATTTAGAAAAATTATTATGAATTAATATTTTTCATTTGTTGTCTTATTTTCAGTCGGATCTTCATAATATATCTATGTCCTTGGCTAGGGCTATTGCTCCTTTTTGTAGGAAGAATATACATTTTACCTTATAAACATGGATGGGAACTGTAGATGACACTGTCCGTGCAGAGCACGGATTGAACTGCTAGTTGTATAATAATAAATAAATAAATAAATGAAAAAAGAGGGTTATGCAAAACGGCCAAAAAGTGACCCCGCGGGGATTGTACGAAACTTTGTGGGATGATTGCACAGGTCTTTTTAGGCCTACATCTGGCTGCAGTTAGGCGAAAATGCGCCTTAAAGTGTGTTTGCAGTTGGTGGGGATTGAATAAAAACCTGTCGGAATTATTGTTCGTTCGATTCCGCATCCACTGATATGTTATGCGTTTCTGAGAGGCTTAGAGAATCTGAGTTACAGCGATTTAAAAATTCGGCAACACGCCCGACGCCCGATTTTGACGCTCGTTTAGGCGACTCCGTGTTGAAGCAAAACGCCTAGAAAAAACAAAATTCGAAGAGCCAGTTCATGTTTTACGCTTTTTTGAAACTTTCACGTCATTTTTAGAAATTCAAGTAGCGGCGGTGTTGTCGGTTTTCGATGAAAACCACCGCTGCGATCACAATTATTGAAAGTAGTACTCATTAAATCACATCTAGCTACTTAGTTTACCCTAAACTGACCATTTGCGACATGATGTTAACAACGTTGCCTAATTTTCGTCGGAATTCGCGTAGGTACGGGGTTGCCAGTTTTCAAGGAAACCGCCGCCGCAATCACAAAAAAATGGATGACTCATTTCATCACGTTCAGCCTTATTCTGAAGTTGGAATTGTCGATTTTTCGAATCGATGGTTTCTTCTATCTCTTTAGGCCGATCCTCTCTGACGGCCTTGGTGTCCAACTGCAGAATAAGGCTGAACGTGATGAAATGAGTGATCCATTTTTTTGTGATTGCGGCGGCGGTTTCCTTGAAAACTGGCAACCCCGTACCTACGCGAATTCCGACGAAAATTAGGCAACGTTGTTAACATCATGTCGCAAATGGTCAGTTTAGGGTAAACTATGTAGCTAGATGTGATTTAATGAGTACTACTTTCAATAATTGTGATCGCAGCGGTGGTTTTCATCGAAAACCGACAACACCGCCGCTACTTGAATTTCTAAAAATGACGTGAAAGTTTCAAAAAAGCGTAAAACATGAACTGGCTCTTCGAATTCTGTTTTTTCTAGGCGTTTTGCTTCAACACGGAGTCGCCTAAACGAGCGTCAAAATCGGGCGTCGGGCGTGTTGCCGAATTTTTAAATCACTGTAACTCAGATTCTCTAAGCCTATACAGAAACGCATAACATATCAGTGGATGCGGAATCGAACGAAAAATAATTCCGACAGGTTTTTATTCAATCCTCACTAACTGCAAACACACTTTTAGGCGATAACGTGATTTTTATTCATTATGAAAATTAAAAAAATGGCCAAAACGTGGCAACAGTGGACTCAAATAAAATTTTCTTCTGCATGGGTAGATAGAGCGAAATTTTTTGCATTTTTCTGTATAAATACGAGCTCTGTGACTGCATTTTTGCGAAAGTTATGGATGTTTGAAGGTTACAACTTTTAAAAATGGCAACGCTGTTTCCCTGCGGTTTTCGCCTAAATGCAGCCAGATGTAGGCTAAAAACGACCTGTACAATCATCCCACAAAGTTTCGTACAATCCCCGCGGGGTCACTTTTTGGCCGTTTTGCGTAACCCTCTTTGCTTTTACTTTTTCCTTCTACCTATCTCAGTTTAACTTAGATCTCTAAAAGGAGTACAAGGACCATGATTGGTACTTTGGTTAATGTTGAGTTAGCGAATATTTTTCCCAACTTCGCAAGAGAGACTTGTACCTGGGACAAATCTCATGAAAACGACCCGTGGAGACAAAGCCTAAAGTTTGCATCTTTTCCCATTCCTATCGAAAGCTTTATAGGGTATCCCCGTGAGAACAAGTACGATGCAATGTCCTGCTCTAATCACTCTAATTTATATGAATGATATAAGGGCTCCTTGCAAGTCATCGAAAGTGAAGCCATTGATCATGGACATAATATCAGAAAAACGAATCTGCCACAATCAGGGAAGAGACTTTCGAAAAGAGCCATCAGGAGCAAGGTAGTTTCGCTTTCGGGATAAGAAATAGTGAGTGTTTTGAGTGTTACTGTCAGGGCAGGCTTGGTTTGGTTGGGCTTAGACCGTGGTCAGGTCTAAACGTGTCGGGACGACAGTCAGAGGGGATTCAGAAGAAACTTTGCATAACTCTCCGCTAAACGACTGAAGAAATCAGGCGACACTTGAACTTCGGGCGAAATTCATACATTCAGGATTTACTTATAGTGTAAGAACTTGATATCTGAATTTCACTTGATGTCTTGGTTATTCAAAAGTAGGGCCGGATTTTTAAAATCTTAAAAGGCATAGTGTGATCATTTCCCTAAAAAGTACTATCAATTAGCTATTTTCAAATGAAAGGCAGGAAAAATAAACAGTGAAACCGTCTGGTAGGCTAAATATGTACTTTCTCTTCTGGGATTCTCTCAAGGTTGTGAAATCCAGTCAGAGGTGCAGAAAAAGCTCGATTAGTTAATGAGAGGCCTATGGCGAGAGAAATGTGAAGACACCTGAAAAGGTGAAAAGATATGAGGGCAGAGGGCATTTAGAATTTTTCTTTTTTAAAATTCAGAATATTTTTTCCGTAATTGGTATAAATGCGCTAGGTACTTTTTGTGTTGAAAACTATTGGATGCTTTATTTTTTGAGAAGGAGACTCCTGAGCCCATTGCTTGTAGTGAAGGAAACTGTTTTACTTGCTCTTTCATGCAAATGAAATAGTGGAAAGCTCAGTTCTAAATGACCAGCAATGTGTAGACAGCCTAAAAAAATGTGAGGGTAAAGAATTTTCTGCACCCCTTGAATCGTTAAATTGAGGTTATATGACGGTTACCTTTTTTTTTCATATTTTGAGATCATGAAATCCTTTATTTGCAATTCATCCTTGGTAGGTTGATCTGTGCTATGAAGACCAAGCCAAACTTTCCTACAGTACTGGAAAAAAAAAATTATATATATATTTATATATTTACTTATACATTATCTTATCTAAAGTGTCTGAAAATGTCAAGGAATAATATTCATGACTTTTTTCTAATTCAAAAATGTTGTTCGCAGTTTGGTATCATTGGAGTGTTTAAGCAGCGTATTTTCTTGGTATAGCGGCCTGATTAATGAAATGGGTAGGAGAGAAACAGCAAATGGAACAATCCTTTTGGCGGAAGCAGGTGGTTACAAAGAACAAAGGAGGTAAGTGATAGAATGACTAACAGCAACCCACAAGAGAACCTATTGTTAGTCCATTATTTTCCCCCTTAGTCCATCGCAACCACCCGTTTCAACCAACAGGATTGCTCCATTTTCCCTTTACCTTCTTTGTCTATCGTTTTGCATATGAATGTATAAATTAACCTGTAAGTAAATTAAGAGTTCTAAGACGCTAGTCCGTCAGACTAAGGATACCCTAACCTTGACCGTGAGCCACCACTTTCATAGAGCAAAACCATCGATATAAAAACTATAAATAGAGTGAATGTTGCGCCAACAGTGAAATTCGTCACACGCTAGGAGCAACAATTAGGTTAGCATGAGGATGGTCGGTTACCATGGTTTCTTGTGGGATTGATGCTGAATAAGGACTTACATGAAATTCAGAACCAACTGTTTAAAATCTGTGTCTGGATATCGTTCCCTTCCGTCCAAAGTGTTTCAAGCGCAATTTTTACCGAAATTGAGTCATGGTATTTTCGAAAGAACGAGACGCATTTACATACGAAAGTATTAATTCTCTTTAGAACAAAAATGTAGAAACATGAATAAATTGATTAAAGTTGATGTACTTTCGTATCCCAAGCGCCATTTGGGAGAATGGTATCACAAGAACCGAGTTTGGCAAACACCCACCTTTTTTATTGTTTAAAATTTTTGTAACAGCAACCCTTGGAATGACTTGAAGCTAAATTGTTGGATAGCCTGGGTTGGTTATCCAGTTATCCAAATTCATCCTATAAATAGCGTAAAAATTTAATTCCGGCGTGATAATATGACAAAAACGCACTCCAATTCCGTTTAATTATTTTACGTTTGATTTTTATTTGAATTTTTTTGATTTCGCGGTCACACGCTAATGCCGTGTAAAAATGGCTGTACTTGCTGCAGTTTACAGGCTTCTCTTTCTAAGGTTTAAAACGTACAAAGTATATGTAAAATGACTTATACATTTCATCCCACGTCCATACGGAGACTAATACGAAGAACTGGGTCCACTTGGTTACTGATTCACTTCATTGAAGACGACTTTCAGGGAAGCCCGTTTATTGCAGTACTATACACAGCACAAGATGGGCCTCCTGCCTAGGATTGTGTCAGTATAGGGTAGATGGGGGTAAAAGGCCGCACTTTTCCGTTGCGGCCGTCTGTCGGCCGCCGTATTACATGAAAATTTCGGAAATGTGGTAAAATATCAACAACAGACCCTTGGGCACAAAATGACACACTTTCCAGAATTTTAAAAGCATTTCCAAAATTGTAACAATTTTTTTTTTTTAAATGTCGGAAGTGCGGCCTTTTGCACCTTTTGCCCCATGGATGGGGCAAAAGGCCGCACTTCTGGAAAAATTCGTAAAAATTTCGGAAATGCATTCAAAATTCTGGAAAGTGTACGCGATACGGCGGCTGACAGACGGCCGCAACCTGACCTTTGGGCTGTGACCTTTTGCCTTCACCTACCCTACATTTTAGGATCTTTGGTAATTATTAATAATATTTAGTAAAATATGTAGTAAAAGATTTAGTATTGGTAGTATTAGTTGATATATTAAGTATTAGTGCTATTTTAGTGAAGGCCGCATGCGGCTTTTTGCCCCATTTGATGACGTAGGTAACCATAACCTCAAAATTCAAAGCCAAGGCCATTAGCCCAAAAGTGACTGCAGGATATTCAAACCATCCTTATCATTGTTCGAACTGCAGCTCGTCCGAATTTTTCTATCAACTATAGAACTTGAAATTGACCAAAATGAAACTGGAAAAATCGATTTTTTCCACGAAAAATTAACTATCCTCATATTTTCGAGGGAACGCGTCCGTTCGGTCCGAAACATCGTCAACACACCATCACCACCACTACCAACATAACTGACACGGTCCCGGTGCCGACCTAAACAATTTTCGACAAAAAAGTCGGGTGTGGCTTTTTTCCCCGTGCGGCCTTTTACCCACACCTACCCGCCCGGCAAAATTACGTTGTGGCAACGTTGCCAACACGTTGCAATTTCGCCGTTTACGTATTCGGGCAACGTTGTGGTAACGTTGCCACAACGTGCTATTTTGTCAGCTTGCATGAACGTAATAGGCAATAGCTACGTTTATGCGAGGCTCGAAACCCGAGTTTGTAATGCAAGTTTTCGCCGTCGGATTTATGCGGGCGCTGTAACCCGACTTTCGCGGGAAATCAAACTTTCCGATTCTGGCGCTGTTTATGCGCATATTTTCGATTGAACTTGAATTTCATGCGTTGGCACCATTTTCACAAGCTATACTTCATTTTTTCACTATGAATTGATTCAATAAAATTATTATTACTTACTCTTCTATCCCGTGATAATTTTTTATCTTTTATTCCACAATTTTTCCGCAATATATAAGCGGAGGCTTCATCTTCACTAGAAAAACCTTTACTGACTCTCTGAGCAACAGTTGGAAAAATGACAGTGGATTTTTAATCATTTTACGTTCATATTTAAAAATTGAATGAATACCTAAGTAATCTCAACAACCCTTTAAATCATGTTTGAGCTTATATTCTGAGTTCAGAAAAGTTGCCATCATAGGTAATTTTAGTGATGTTAAAAATAATTGCAGCAGGCGCAGAAATTCATCATGTTGTTTATTGAGCTTCTAATGATCTTACAATAGGTAGATATAGGCATTGAAAGTATAGGAGTGCTAATCCAGTAAAGCACCGCACCTTTACTCCATGGTGTCGTAAAGATTGTACCTATGTCTGCCATTATTGTAGTGAAACAAAATAACTAATCCGGAATACTTATGGGAATTGCTCCTTCAAAATATGATCAAAATAAGCGGATATTGATAGGATGATAGGTCAACAATGTATCGCTGAAGCAGAAGCGTCTACATCCTCTTGAGGCAACGGACGGTGACAATCTCAACAAACTGATGACGCTTCACAAATTTTAAGTTTCCACATTCCCAGAGACACGCGCTGAAATCCTGTTTCTCACCCCTCTTTCCGACTGCTCTCCGAGTCCATGAGCAAGACAGGAAGAAAATAGGCAAGCTACCTACTACTGTTTGCCTA